TTGTTGATGCCATGGTCCCCAACGCTCTCCAGCGGAAGATGACCAATGCATCTTACTTCAAGAGGAGTGAGATGTTTGGTACTTACGAAAAGGCGAAGCAAAAGGGACAAGAGATTCAGCGAAAGAAGTGGGTGCAGTACACCTTCGAGTACGCCATCTACCTCTTCCTGATACTCTTCGTCTACTTTGTTCTTATCGGAATTCCGCTGTGGAAGGGTGCTGTGTGGTGGCTCTACTGGGTCGTGGCCACAAAGTTTGTCATCGCTGGTGGTTTCGGTATCGTGCTTGGAATAGCGCTATTGTGAGTTGACACAGTTGCATCGCTACCTCTTCTTTTACTAACATACCCCAGCTACGCATTCGCTCCTCTGCTCATCCTCTTCGAGAAGGACCCGCCCCCTGCCGACTACACCACAGAGACCAAGATCCAGTCCAATGTTTCCGACACCTGCCTTATGATTCCTTGCTACAAGTCTGCTGGACTCATCGCCAACACACTTGAGGCCGCTTTGAAGATCTTCCCTCCATCGCACATCTTCGTCATCGCCAACGGTAACAGCCCTACACCTCTCGACAACACGGAAGAAGTGTGCCGCCCATACGGCGTGAACCACATCTGGTCGCCCATCGGATCAAAGATTGTCGCTCAGTTCGTCGGTTGCTACGCTGCGAAGGCTTTCAAGAACGTATTGCTCATCGACGACGACTGCGCACTGCCCGATAACTTCCCGGTTGTTACTGAACGTCTAGTTGGCAGGGTCCAGTGCATTGGCTACACCATCAAATCCGTCGGACCAAATGGGTCAAAGGGCAACCTTTGCCAACAAGCCCAGGATCTCGAATACAAGCTCAGTGGTATCCAGCGCGAGTTTGCTGGTAAGATTGGTTCTGCCACCTTCCCCCACGGTGCTATCTCCCTTTGGGACCGCGAACTCCTCGTCAAGACTTTCCACGAACACCCCGGTTTCAGTGTCTCTGAAGATTGGTTCTTCGGTCACGTCGCCCGCAAACTCGGATGTCGCATCAAGATGTGCTCGCAGGTATTCGTCGAAACCGAAACACCTACCGCTGTCTTCATCTCTGGCGGTGGCTCTCGTGGTGGTTTCGGCGAGATGACCATCTTCTCGCAACGCTTCAAGCGATGGAACTTCTTCTTCGTCAACGGAATGTACTACAACATGGCCTATATCTTCGGTAGCTGGAAGCTCGGCTGGTGGGAGATTGGCGCAAAGATCTTCGTCTTCCAAGAGGTTAGTAACTCACAATTCGTTTCTCACTCATCAAATTCTAACAGTCTCACCAGGTCTACGAAACTCTGCTCTACCTCCTCACACCCTTCATTCTACCAATCTCGTTCTACGTCCGCCCCTCGTTCTGCGGTTACCTCCTCGCCGCCACCGTCGTCATGTACCTCATCAACAGCGTCCTCTTCAACGAAGTCCATCTCCGCCGCAAGGGCGAGCGCGTTGGCTGGGTGCTCATGTACGTGTACTACCTACCGTACAAGATGGTCTTGACTGTCATCAACGTCGCCAGCTGCTACTGGTCACTCTACAAGTACGCCCGCTACTTTGCCAAGCGTCATCCCAAGGTTATCGAGGACGAAAAGGCTGTCGAGGTCGTCATCCGTCTTGAGGAAGAACAAGCCAGCCCAGAATGTGGTCTCGGTCGACGCATGACGGTGCGCACCATCGGTACACGTGGCAGCATAGATGAAGGCGACGACCACGACGACGGTGTTTCACCAATGGATCGTGTCGAGACGGGTGGTGGTTCTTACGCCATCATCACAGAGCCCGAGCACGCCCACTCCCCTGGCCTGCAACCACCCCACCACGTCAGTACAACGCGTCCCAGCAGCCCTCTGCTACGAAGCGAGGGTGTTGTCGCTCGGGACTACTTCGCTATGCAACAAACAACGCCTCCCGCCGATACAAATGTCGACGTGGAGAAGCAAAACCATCAATGGATCTGAGTACGAGTCCAAAAAGTTTACAGCGCAAAGACGCTTTTAAGTTCTAATGTTTTTACCCTTCTTGTGTTTATACTTTTTTTCCTTTGTCACGGGTCGGTCGGCGTTCAATCATGAGTACATGGGCGGCATTCTGTTATATACCTCTGCAACACCTTTCATAATTTCGTCTACGGTCGATGATTACATCCCGATTCAATACATCACGATTCAATATTCAACTTTGTGGTACTACTTTTTGAGTGAAATGTCTGCCTGAACGCTACAAAGACATGTTGCCGATAGCTACTCTGCAACCCAAATTGGAGTGGGTAAGCAATATGTGGCTTCTCAAATCCAGCACATACGACAACCAGTCTCTAATCTGTCGTTTGGTCATTCATCGCCTTTACCACATGTACGTCTCTTTGACTTCTCCGCAATTTTGATCACACTCAAGCACCAGTATTCGCATCACCCACGTCATCTACCGCCCTTTCCTTCCCACCACCACTGCCACCTCGTCCACCGCCTCTTCCTCCTCTCCCACCTCCCCGTCCACCCTTCTTCCCCCTCTGCCCATCCCCAACCTCCTTCTCCCACGCCTCAACATCCACAACCACACCCTCAGGCAACATCCCCCCACTCATCAACACGCCACCATCCTTCTTCCTACTCTCAACCCTCTTGAAGAACTCATACGAAAGCAGTCCTTGCTCATTGCCCTCCGTAAGTATGACACCGTTCTCCGAGAGGAAAAACTTGATACCAGCAGCAAGCGCAGCATTGATGTCGATGTAAATGAGGATCGTGGAGTTTGTGCGCATGCCTGAGATGACGGGTGCGGCTTCCTTTTCCTCCGTGGTGGAGTCGTCGAGGGCTTTGAATCCAGCGGGGAGGCCGGATGCAAAGTGCATGTGGTTGCGTCCCATGCGTCGCATACCGCCGCCTTTGAGGATGAGGTTCCAGGCCTTTTCGTTAGTGCCGTGGACGACTGTTTCGGGGACATTGCCGGCTTCCTGGGTGATGGGCGTGAGGAGGCCTTCAGTGTCAACTTTGATGGAGTGGCCTTGGTTGGCGCGGATTAGGTAGTCGGCTGGGTTATCGGATTCTGGTATACCTCCAAGTGCATCTGGTGTGGGTTGCTCTTGTGGTGCTACTGCGCTATCGGATGAATCCTGGTCGAGTGAGGATGCTAGGATCATGGAGTAGCGCTGTTTGTCGTTGTTGGCGACGATGTCGCGGAGTTCAGGGAATGTGACTTTTAAGCCCTTGAGAGTTTTGGTGTTGAGCTGGGGAGTGTCAGTCTCCCGTATGATGCTACTGCTTACTTTGTTCCTATATGAGCAGACATGAAAGCCTTCAGATACCCACGTCTTCTGGTTGAACGTGTATCTGAATTCCCAGAACATAAAGTGGTGAATAAACTTACCGCCTCCTGCACATTGACATACCCGCCCTTTCCCAGCTTCAAGCCCTCTTGACCAGCACCATGTCGCAATAACCAACTAACTTTTCTTGACACCTGCACATCTCTCGATTGGTTCGCTGGATTGCGATTACCGCCGCCTCGACCACCTCTTGCCATGGCTTTAAAAGATCTTGTGATGAGTCGTGAAATGTTTGCGGAGGGTTTCGATCAGAGTACTATTATAAGATAGCAGGACTCCAGTTCTTTCCTAGTCGAGAAGGATGATGCGTAATGAGTCAGATTGATGGCCTTGGGGAAAGATGGAGTTGGTAGGCGCAGGCAGGCGCAAAAGGTTAGTGCGGGTCGACTTTTGTGTGGCGACCCCGCAATGATTGGATGCGCTACACGTTCAATAATAGGAACGCGACTGCCTCGTGAAGATGCCTGCCAAATGATCTCAAGATAAATTTCCTCTCAAAAGTCATATCTGATCGCACTATCTCGGTGTTCAGGTATCTTGCGTATAGCTTGTAGTATCTACTGCAGCAGCTCGACACCTCCCATCCACGGAAGACACCCCATTCGGTCTACATAAACCATACACTTTCGAACAGCTTTCAGGAGACATAATTTTATAAATAATGTCAACTGCAGCTCAGAGAGCTATACGGGGGTTCGTCGTATCTCTCGTGCTAATAGATGCCTTCCAAACGACTACACACTGGGAAGATGTCCAGTCTGACAACGATAATGGTTCAAACAATCCGAGGAGTTTAGCAACTGGGATTGAGACGATGACCCTGAAAGGACATGGATAGCAATCGTGCCGACCAGATCTTCATCTCTACACGCCCAAAGTTCCCGAAGCCTCTCCTGCAGGAAAGCACCACTCTTCCGTCGACTGTACACCCAGAGCTGCTGTGCGAGGCATCTGCGTTCCTTCCTCTTTCGCACGACACCGGCTGATCATCTCATCAGCTGTGTCCGTCTGTACATAGGCGACGTTATTGTCAAACCCCAAATAGTGTCGAGTTTCCGATGATTGTCTGCCAATGAACCTGTTGCGGGTACCAAGTCTACCACCTCTTCCGTAGCGAATGCCCCCTCGCCACCCACAAGAATCTCTCCGATTCGTCTCAGCTCATCTTTGAGAAGCCGCATACATATCTGAAAGGTGCTATCCAACTCGCTCTCGGTATAGACTCTCGGTTTCCTGTACTTCGTAACCACTTCAAAAGTGACCTTCTGCAAGTTCTTGGGTAGTCGTTCAAGGAAAGTGAGTTCCGAGCGAAATTTGCAGGCAGATTGGTCTACTTTCTCAATCAATCCTGTGAGTTTCGAGCGAAATGGGTGGTGAGAGACGTTGCATGTTTGCCATCCATAGAAATCGTACACGCTCAGACTGAGTATCTGCAGTACTGGCGTGAAGGTCGACAGGTGATATATAAATTGCTTGGTACACTCTTCTTGCTTTCCATGCAGGCGGATGACAGTGTACTTATCCTCGTCCAGACTTTTCCACCCTTCCAGATGGCAAATGATCTGAGTATTGATCCGTACAATTCTCGCTTTGTCGAGACGAAACAAGCCTAGGGGCTTTGCAGAGGGATAGATCGGCGTTAAGAAGAAGTCATTTTGCTAAAAGATGGCTTCCCTGTGGAACTGGTGGACACACTCTTGGAGCATTTGTTTGTTGAGCATCATCCACCCCGGAAGACCCTTGCCGCTGTGCCATTTGGCGTCTTTGAATTGTGCCCAGTACGAGGGAAGACCGTCCGCATGGAAGGATTCATCGAAAGTCGTCCAACGGACGGTATCGTCTCCATTTTGGGTATACTGAGCCATGACAGAGGTGTTGTAGTGGCGAAAGCGGATTATGGTCCCCGCAAGAGTGTAATGAAGAATTCGATCTCTGATGTCTAGCGGCAGGGCGAAGAAAGGCGAATCGCCGGTGCTTTCGCTTTGAGGGGTTCGCGCGCTCTTACGCGTACCCCTGCGCGTGCTCTTGCGCGTTGAGGTATCTGCATCGTGAATGCCCGAGAAGAGTTTCTCAACCCATGGCGCGGGTTTGGCCTTCTTTTCTAGTACCTCCGGCGGTACGAGACGTTTATGATGAGCTGGTGCCATGGCTGGTATCGTTAGATTGGTGGTTGAGTGCAAATGAGCGCGTCGTGTGTGCAAGTGGGGCATATTAGAGCCCCTGGCAGGGATGGTTGTTGGCGCGCCAACCTGAGTGAAGGGATAGCTCTTGGCGCGTCTTTTAGGGAAGCAACGACGAACATGGCGGCAACAGACACGACTTTGTGAGGAAAATCAGGCTGGGGTATACATCGTCTTGCATACTACTTGTTTATCGAAATATAACACCATGTATGCGGCAACGCGAAATTTCATAGCCGTTTGACTACTTCCGGTGTTTGAACTACACTCTGCAATAGAGCTTCCCAAGCGGGAACACTATGTTAAAGGTCATTGTAGGTGTAGTCAAGCTGCCTGGGACAGACAACCCAGTCGCACGTCTCACGCAGCATATACGCCATAATATTGACGGCAATATAAAGTATATCATTCCATCCAACGCCTAATGTTGATAATCCGGAGTTGAACACATCAATTGTGCCCGCAAGTCTTCGTAGCGATCGAGCTCCTCTGTGAGCATTAGCAAATCCGCACGACACCGCATCCGCATGCATCTCTTCAGCATGCGCAACCCTCCTTAGGACCCTCCGTCCGTGCGCTGCCTAGGTTCACCCGCGCATCCTCTTGCCTGTTCAAGTTTGTCTGTCCACCCACACCACGAGGCCCCTTCAAGCTCGTCTCTGGGATAGCATTTGCGATGGCAGTGAAGACCTCGGCAACGTTGTGCCCCGTCTTTGCACTCGTCTCGAAGAACAGCAAGCTCTCCTCGTCTGCGTATGCCTTTGCAGTCTTGCTAGGTACTCTCCTGGAGTCGGCTCCATCCTCTGTTGGCTCGTCCTCGCCCTCAGCTGCGGGGGCGTCATCTGCGTCTTCTGGGTTCTCTTCGTCGGCAGCGGTCGCCAGATCGAACTTATTTCCTACAAGCGCGATGACGATACCTGGGGAGGCTTGGCGGTGCAGTTCGGCGACCCAGTGTTGGGCTTTTGTGAGGGAAGAGGGCTTTGTGATGTCGTAGACGACGAGGGCGGCTTGGGCGTTGCGGTAGTACATGGGCGCGAGCGAGGCGAAGCGTTCTTGGCCTGCGGTATCCCAGATCTCAAACTTGATGGTTCGGGTTGGTAGGTTGCATTTCTGTGTCAAGAATGCAGCTGTCACATGGTACGTTAGTCATAGTTTGGCAGTGTGGAGATGCGGGTGGTTGTTGAGCAACATCTCCGCACGTGGCTGTGTACGTGCCTCCGATAGTAGGCTCTTTGTTCTCTTGGAAGTCGTTGTTGACGAAGCGCATAACGAGAGATGACTTGGTAGGCGTCAGTTTAGAGTCGCGATGAGTCTTTCCTACTCCGTACCTTTCCAACGGCTGCTTCTCCTAGCAGCACGAGCTTGACGCTGCTGCTAGGCTTGGGTTGCGCGGAAGCGTCCGCCATCGTGAAATCGTGATAGGGCTGTGGTGCGGTTTTTGCGGGGGTCTAAGCGGCGACTGAGGTTCTGAAGATCTGGAGAGTGATGGACGGCGGTTGTTTGCGTCGTGATGAGGCGATAGCGGTTGCGATGTTGCAGGCAGATGCTTTGGAGATCGCCGAGAGCAGTGACGAATTCGTGCACGTGACTGACTTACTAAGATCGGAAAGTACTTGGCGTGCGAATGCATTCCGACACAACTACTTCAATTTGGCATATCGATGCTGTTTCTATCCAGAACCCGTAGACAGAGCTCATGATGAGCGTCACGATTCCTAAGTCTTCTACGCTGGTGACTGGAGCATCTGCATCACATCAACTGCTCGGCAAGACCCATCTTGACTGCGGATACATTACCTCCAGAGCTCAAGCCATCTCGACCTGGTAAGAGTGCAGTGAGGCTTGTTGAAGTTACAATTTGAGGCACAGCCAGAAACTATGCGATGTGGAAATGAACGTCGCTCTTAGCTGCTTTACCAGCCCCTACAAAGCATCGTTGAGATGGCCTCTGCTTCATGTTGGCGACTGCGTGCAAGAAGACACTAGATGCATACATACATGGCGGTCTGTTACACCGTCTCCACATGAAAACATACAGCAATGTCCGTTTTCACAACCGTTTACCGCTGGAGAAGTAGCTGGATACATTCTGCGGACATCCGCAAAGCCGACAAGGCCCGCATCAAACATGTCTCGGTATAAAGAATCACAAATGCACACACGTCACTGTGTGTGCATCTGGCCAGCCCACGATGCACGCCGAGGATATGCCACCCCGATGCAGGAACTTAACTTTTTTTGTCTCAAGTAATGACTGACGTCACATTGCTGACGTGAAACTTAGCTGGCACAGATCCGCACAGCCCACTCTCACCGCGACCGTGGGCGAGTTCCGTCCCAAACCAAGTAACTTTTGGACTAAATCTTGACACGTGCGACCAACAAGCTCAATCCTGGTTGATGCGGAGGTTTTGTCCGCGGTGGACCTGACTCCTCACTTGGGCCGTCAAGACACCGGAATCTGTTACTCGACGCAGTTATGTGCAACATGCAATTATTATACCATAGTACAGTGATGTGAGGGTATGCAGGTTGTGGCGTCGTCGACCCCTCAGCTAAGGCGCGCAATCTCGCAACGAAGCTATTCCAAGGCCGTGGGACTCCCGAATCGGCAGGCGCGAATTGCACCCCTCTAGCACCTGCATGGGCATAGACACCACCGGAACGTCTTACACATGCCCAGTGTACCCAATTCCAAAGCTGCGGACCGCTCAGTTTGATGCCAGACGGCTGCTCTACCGTAGGTGGTTATTGGTGGTGAGAGGCTACACCGACAAGTGGATACTACGCGTGTATGGCATTCTGCTGCCCGGACTCCGACGACAACGAACAATGCCATTGCCAGTGACTATCCGTCACTGTGGCACTCTATGCATCCCTGCGACAGGCCACGATCTCGACCCGTTGATCTTAGCCGATCGCAGCGGTGGTAGGACGACAGGCGGTCCAGCCAGGAGCGTAGGAGCGAGCGGTTTTATTGTACGGCTGGCAGGCTGTCATGTGTCTTTGACTGTGTGGTGCAGGTGCCGCACCACTCAACACCCAGCGACCCCACAGCAGCGAGCAAGACGACAGGGTGGTGGCTTGCGCGATAATGTGCAGCACAGACGCCGTGTGCGCGACCGATCGCGATGACGCCAAGCCTGGCCTGCTATCCGAGCGGTTTGCGAGTGGGTGCCCAGGTGGGTGGAGTCAGATAAGTCTTTTGCCATCAGTCGCCAGAATGCAAACTGCCCATTGTCTGCAATGAGGAAAAGAGAGGGTCGCGCAAACACCTGTTGGCAGGCGATGATCTCTTGTGTAGCGCGCGCAGCCCGACACAGCAGCGATCGGCTCGCCTTAGCCACAGCACTCCAGACAAGCGCTCGGTTCCCCGTGTCCTTGATCCGCCCGAACCGGACTGGCCCAAGCGGCCATGGGCAAAGTAGCTCGAGATCGGCGTTCCCTATTGCGGGACCAGGTGTCTTGACATGAAATCACGCTCGAATCACAGCCGCGGGGGCTCACACGGTATGGCGCACTAACGAGGGGCCTCGAGAACCTGCGTTGCGCCAGGAACACGCACAAAGGGTTCCTGGATTTGTGCATGGGGATGCGCAGGAGAGGCAGCAGAGGCAGCCAGAGTCAGAGGTGTCTGGAGCAGCAACATGGGTGAAACATGCAATCAGAGGGCGAGGGCGATGGTGCGCTCCCTGCCCGCCACGGCCCCGTGCGGTCTTTAATAGGAGCGGCAGCATGGGCGGCCTCGTTTGTCGCTTCAGCCACGGCATTGCCGCGTACCTTTTGAGGAGGAGGCGGCCGGGGTCTCGCTATCAGTCACGTTGGTCGGGCGTGGGCTGTGAGCGTCCGGCTGACCCCAGATGCCGCGTGCCATGTTTGCGACCAAATAATAAAAAGTTCCTGGCCGCTGCCACCGCTGCACCCATCTCACCCACTCCCTTAACCTTGATTATTACCGCTGCCGGGTCTGAAACGGGGATATTTGGCCGCATTTCTGAGGCTGCGAATCGAGACTCTCTGTTGGACACAGTAACTCCATATCAGAAGCTCGGGCATCACCCCACTTGTCGAATAGCATTCCGGGACCTGTCCACACGCTTTATTTTTGAAATCAGCGCCTCTCCAGCTAGCAGACGCCTCTCGCACACATCTTGGATTATTATTTGTACCGCCCACGCCTGCGCTGCCCTGCATTGTCTCTCAGCCGCATCTCGCTCTATTACCTCCGACACCTCGGAGGCTGTGCAACTACTCCGCTGCCTTGCTGACGAAGCGGACAACAAAGCAAACACCCGGCCGGCGACTTTTTTACTGCAAGCATGACTGTCCACAAGGTACCTATACACATTATCCCAATTGACCGCCCCGAGTTGCGCTGACCGTGCCGCCTGCCAGGAGCCCATCAACGTCCGACCCGCCAGCCAGCAACGGCACTCGTCGAGCACCATGGCCGGCTCGCTCCCCAAGAACCGCCCGCACTCGCACTCGATATCCGCCGCCAACCTCAACCCGGCGCATCGCGTCACACGCCGGAAGAGCATGAGCCAGACGCCTGCGTCCAATGTCGCGGCCATTGCGGCGGCGGCCAAGGGCATGTCAGGGGCGCCGCTCGAGGGAGGCAGCAGCAATGGCCTGCGCCGCTCGTCCAAGCCGACGTCGCAGTTCCGGGGCCCCAACATGGCCCT